CACACACACACACACACACACACACACACACACAGTTCTAAACTTAGCATGTGATTTGGACTCAGAAGGCCTTCCTGGCTCGGTGCCTTTTAGCCACAGTCTCTCCCAGGGCTGACGGCCGGCCAGGAGTTGGAATCCAAGGAGTCCGTGGCGAGGTCAGAACTCTTCAGGGATCATGGGCCCGAGGGTCCCCAGGCTCTGCGGAGGAACCGCTCTGATGAGTGCTGCGGGTGACGGCCGGGCTCAGCCTTCTCAGGCCCTGGGGGCAGTTTCTGCCTCCAGTGTTTTCAGCAGAACCTGGCACTGGAAGCTTCGATTCACCCTCCACAGCGCTTCAGAAAGGACTGCCCTAGGAGCTGTGTCTTTAAAACGGCTGTCGAGGGGTTAAAATAGAATGGCCCATCTTCCCAGGGACTTTGGAAGGAAACCTTTAATCCCATCTGCACGGGGGCACCATCACCACGTTGCCTGAGAGCGGGCTCCACTGGTGAGAAGAGGTGTTTCGTTCTGAAGACAGAAAAATGGATTTCTGGTTGATTCCAGTCTTCAGCTGTGTCTGTTGCTGGCCCCTTCTCTTTGCTGCGCTCCAGCTCGTGGATTTTAGTGCTTGTATCTGATTTGTGTAATAAAGGGAGCCTTATTTTGATACCTGGCATTTATTTTTCTTCTCCCAAATGTTTGGTGTATCGTCAGGTGATGGCTTTGTGGTCCCACCGGAGCTTTGGGGACAACCCAGGGGTCGTGCTGGGCTGTGGTTAGTGTTGCTGGCAGGTGCTCAGGGGCGGCAAGGAAGGTGGGGACATCACCTTTGAAAAAACAGAGATGGTTAGCAAGCGGGTGTCGATCCGGGGAACATCTATCTGGTCCTTGGTGCCAGTTCTAAGGGATGTTTGGGGAATGGGGACTGGAGTTGTTTTAGCCCAGGGGAGTCGGCTCCACTCACCCGTGGGAGACCACCTGCCTCTGGGATGGGCAGTGGTGGAAGTCATAGCCCTTGAGAAAATTAACAGATAAAAGCATTTTCTAAAAGTCACATTCACTTTCTGCCATTCGTGATCTTGGGCAGCGGTCAGAACAGTCACCCTCTGAGGCTGAAAAACTGAGTGTTAGTGGTTTTTGTGCCGTCTGTTTTCCACCCCGCCGTGGGGCTGCACGTTCACCGTGGGAGTGTGGGAAGAGCGTTAGATTAATAGTTCCAGCCCCATCACATACGCTCTGCTGTGTGACCTGGCGCTACTCTCTTTCCCTCTCTGGGCTTCAGTTTCCTTCTCGGAAAATGATGTAACTGGTTGTGATTGTTTCCAAAAGCCCTCCCTCTTGCCCTAAATACAAAGCAAAGACAAAACAAAGAAAAACACCGGTTTTAGAGACATTCACCAATACGACCAAACTGACCTCGACCAACATTTTGAGAATTTGCAAATGGGTTCATTCAGTACCTGTGGGATTTTACAACTTGAACCCTCATTTTAGGGCTGAAAATCCCTGAGCTTTGAAAAGGGAGGTTGCCATTTGTTTGCTGTCTGACAGACGTGCTTGCTGGCGCTCAGATTTGCTGATAGGAGGTTCTGGCCAAGGATCTAATTTCTGTTTTCTGGCAACAAGGTATCAACAGAGAAACCAGAGCTCTGGCTGCTTGCAGTCCCCGCTTCCTGGGTGCTCTGGGCGCTCAGGGAGAGGCCAGGACTCCGGCACTGGTTCTGCAGTTCAGCCCCACAGACGGTGAGCGGAGACCTCAGTAAATGGCACCGGGGCAGCTCCATCTTGTGCCGCGGCCGACAGCAGAGCGGTCATTCCTGTTGTGCAGGCTCCCCGTGTTGTGTTATACCTGAGACACCATGTATACACGCAAGCCTTGAAGTTTTAATCTGCCCCACATCAGGCCATCCCTAACTTCATTCAAATATTAGGGAGTGTCATCAGATGATTTTAAAAAGATCAAGCTCATAAATCATAGTCTATGTGATGTGTCGTTCCTTGTGTAGAAGGATTGGAAAGCCCATTAGGATTTTTTTCAGTTTTTTGAAGAGCTGAAAGAGAAATCACATAGAAATCACAATGCAATTCCTTCTTTCTGTCTGGGAAGAAACTGAGACTCAGAGGTAGGAAAAATGATGACGTGGTTACAGAACCCGAACAGGCTGCAGAATTGACTTATGGGAGAGTCCTGGCACAGGGCAGCTCTCGCTAGAGGAAGGGGTGCCTTTTTGGTACTTGCTCATCAGTCCATGCACCCGCAGGGATGTGTCTGTCCAGAAACGGTGCCTCCTTCCAATTCATTTAAAAGTGCTGCCTGTGCTTGAGGCAGCTCTGGCTAAGAAGCCCAGTTTTTATGACTCCAAGTCTAGGACCTTCCTCTGTACCACTTGTCATAATGATTTTTTTCCCCTTGTCTAAAAAGCCTGCAGTTTCCCAGAGCTTTTATTTCCACTTGTATTATTGTATTATAGAATGCTTATGTAACACAGAACAGGTTCTCACACGGGGAACCCCAGGAGGTGTTCCAGGCACAGATGATGGTGCCCATTTTACAGATAAGGAAACTGAGAGCAATGAAAAGAGGTCAGAGCCTGTGGTCACTGGGCTCCAAGTGTCCACATCTGAGGCAGAAGCACAGTCTTTTAAAACAAGAGAGAAGAAAAAAAGCACCAGGTTGTTTGCTCCCAGGCATATTTAATATAAAATAGTACATTCATGTAAAGAACAGAATTAGATTTTTATAAAATCAAAACTTTTTCTCCTCTTTTATTTTCCTGCTGATATGTGAAGGCATATTTCCTCTTCTCTCCTCTGAGAGATACTGAATATGGATTGCACAACTCAATTAAGCAAATACCTGGGGTCCGCCCCTGCTTTCATGAAATTCATAAAAGGGAAGAAAGAAGGTTCTAGTCTGGAGTCATTTCCTCTCCCGCCAAGGCAGAAAGAATCTGGAAAATTAAATTAAATTAAATTAAATAATTAAATTTCTTCTTGAGAAAACCCAACATAGGACAGAGTGAGAATCTTGGATGTGTGAGGTGCTTTCTTCAGAGCCCTCCATGTAAATTGCTTGACAAGGAAATTTTAGTTTTCATGCAGTCTTCATCAGGACTTGGTACAGAGCATTTTTTGGCACTTGGTCAGCTGAGGAGAAGCCACGGAATGAGTCAGTACCCTTTAATAATATATACCTATGAATTTTAATTGCAGTACAAATGCTGCATTATTTCACATACGACAGCCACGGGGAACAACTCCCTTACTGACGTCAAGAGGGGAGGTAATGAGGGCCACCTCAGGAGTTCTTTATGCCAGAGAATTAAACCTTCTGAGGTGACTGACAATGGTGTGGCAGAGAAGCAGGGGAAAATTGAACTGTTCCCACATTCAAAGCTCTTCGGGGAAACAGAAGCCATTTGGCAAAAAAAAAACAAACCACAAGTTGGATCGGGCTCCCGGTGATGCACCCTCGCTCCCTCCTGCCAAGGAGCCCGGGATGTGAAGTGACCTCCCCACACGGTCCCAGATCCCACCCGCCAATCTTTACTCCCAGTTCGTTGGCTGCTTCCTACATGAGACATGAGGGCCCGGTCTGTTTTGGACCTGGACGGTTTCTCCAGGCACATTGAGACAAGTCAGGTCCAACACTGGGCTCCCTGTGGGGTGGGAGCTGCAGACTCCTGCCGTCAGAGCTCCCCTCTGCCGGCCTCCCCCTGGGAAATCACGGTGTTTTCTGTGCCCGCTGCTGACCTCTGAGGCCAGACAAATGTCAAGTCTGGAATAATCTGATCATAAATCCTGGCTTGCTCTCTGATGGGTGGTATCAGCCACGTGAAGAATTGCCTTAGTGTATCACCTCTGCTTTCAAAGACCTTATAAAGGGCCCCCAAGGAAATTCACCAAACAAAGTGTTCGTGCCCACGCTCCTCCTGACACCCACTGCTAGGGAGGGCAATGTGAAGGTGCTGTTAGTTCAGGATCTAACCCACCCTTCCTGGCTACTTGGTAGTATTCATCTGGGCGGAGGGGGACAAAGGTGAGCAAGATGAGCCTCGCCCTTTCTTTGCACGTGAGGCCACCGCAGTGGAGGCTGATGCTAGACCAGGATCTGATAGGCTTTCCACTGTGACAGTCCTTCTAAGTCACCTTCTGCTCTGGCAGGGCTGACCCACCGCCTTCTTCACCGAGTCCCCTCTTCCACAGAATTCTACCTGGAAATTCTTGCCCTTGGTCCCTCCTGGCAGATTGAGGTGCGTTCCCCCCCGACGACAGTGTGATGGCAAAGACCCTGGAAATCCTCTTGAGCCTCTAGTGAAACCCTCCTCCCTCTTCCGAGGTTACCATCCGATGGTGGGCGGGGATAAAAGTGGGGACTAGACAAGAAGGATTAGCTGCTCTGTCTCAGCGTTTTCCACTTGTAAATCATACAGCCCATTGTTTCAAAGGGTTGTAATCATGGTTGGCATTTATAAAGCCTTTTTATGGTCTTGAAGCACTTGGCAATCAGATGTAAGTACGTAATTATCTTGAGAGACACATCAGTGCAGTCTTCAT